AGTTGAATAGATTTAGTGCTTAATAATACATAGCAACAATTATTACATGAATCCTAAGACAATTCACAAAATACATGAATGCATTAAACTGTGAAATACAGATTTTGTACATTTAATTAAAATGCACAGCATCAGTACCCCCCCCCCCCCCCTTCACAATCTTGCAACTTTCTTTTTAATTCAAAGTCACTAGGCAACACTAAAGATTTCCACTTATTGCTTTTCAGTCCAAGACAGGAAGTTGAGGAATAAAGTTCACAGGACATCCTGAACTGTCCTCGCTACCAGCTTATGAGGGAACCAGCTGCAGTGGACAAAGTACGTTACATCATAGGATAATAGGTAAGTCTCCGGAGTAGTGTTTGTAGCAATTCTCGTACTTGGTCCTGCATCGAAGATTCAGGACTATTGATATTTATCTCTGCATGGTTTGGTTCTTCCCAGAAACATGTTACTGGTGGTGGTCCCTATATTCTTCTGGCTTTTGTGGTGAGGAATGTTTCATTTCTAGCTCTTTTCTGATCACATTTTGTCTATCTAGCTGTTTGTCTGTCTGTTTGTCCATCTGTCTGTCTGTAAACTTTTCATATTTTCGACTTCTTCTCTAGAACCCATGGACCAATTTCAACCAAACTTGCCACAAAGCATCCTTGGGTGAAGGGGATTCAAGTTTGTTCAAATAAAGGGCCACACCCTCATTCAAGGGGAGATAATTGGGAATTAATGAAAATTTGATGGTATGTTTTAAAAATCTTGTTCTCAAGAACCACTGTGCCAGGAAAAATGAAACTTATGGAGAAACATCCTCAGGTAGTGTAGATTTAAATTTGTTCAAATCATGACCCCCGGGGGTAGGGCGGAGCCACAATGGCTGACCAAAGTTTAACATAAAAATATATAAGAAAATTCTTTAAAAATCTTCTTCTCAAGAATGACAAAGCCATAATTAATCCTATTTATATGGAAGCATCCTCAGGTAGTGTCGATTCAAGTTTGTTCAAATCATAACCCCCGGGGTAGGGCGGGGCCACAATGGAAGATCAAAGTTTTACATAGAAATATAAAGGAAAAATCTTTAAAAATCTTCTTCTCAAGAACAGCAAAACCCTGATTGATCATATTTATATGGAAGCATCCTTAGGTAGTGTAGATTCAAGTTTGTTCAAATCATGTCCCCCGGGGGTAGGACGGGGCCACAAAGGATGATCAAATTTTATATAGAAATATATAGGAAAATTCTTTAAAAATAACCTTCTCAAGAAAAGCAAAGCCATGATTGGTCAAGGGACTACTTTTGGATTTAAACTTTTCAATAAAAAACCAATTTTTACTTTTTCCTAGCCACAGTGCTCAGGTGAGCGATGTGGCCCATGGGCCTCTTGTTTGTTTTTTTTTTTTTTTAAAAATGATCAATCATTAAATATAAATAAATCAGTTGTTAAAAAATTTGCTTCATATTTGAAGTGCTTTAAACCGACCCTTTGATGAAAGTGACCAGTGTTTTTTGCACCTTGAAAGGTTTATTGGTAAAATATAAGAAGGAAGTTATGATTTTGGTGTTACTATTGTTGTTATTTAAGTTTGATTTGATTTTTATATTACGAGTATTATGAAACTGTTATTTTGTTACTGACCGATTGTTAATTTTAATTGTGAACAAATGTACAAAGATGAGGAGTATAATATAGTTGGCTATGTATATTGCCCAATTTTTGAACATACTATGTAATAAATATTAATAACAACCTTTGAATAATTGGAAAGACAATATTATAAATATGATAGCATTTTTGTACATGAGCATACATTTTTGAAAGGAAAAATAAATTATTCAATTGCATTAAAAAAGATATTTTGTTTCATATTCTTGCGAATTATCAGATCATTCTTCTATTATTTAAATACTCTGTCATTATGAAACCTTGTTAATAATTAAGTAAATATTAATTGTACATTTGCACCAATTTTTACATGGCATTTTCACACTAAGAATGCCACGTGCAAAATTATATACAGGAACAATTCTGAACAAATATATGCAAGTGAGTTGTAAATTTGATATGTAATGCAAACATTACAAAAACCCATGACAGTGTTCACTAAAATGAAATGTATGGACTCTTATATAAATACTTGGTATATGTGATATGGATATTATGGATGATATTTTTGAGAATGACACAAGTAATGAAATTTTTCAGCATTGAATTGGATTCTTGAACCAGAGCCATGTGAACCTGGTCCACCTGTACCTCTCATTGAAGACCTGTTAACATCACCAGAGTATGTTCATTCTGATACCCCTATGGTATGGTTACAGCATGCATTATCCCTGAATCCATTAAAAGAGCTGCATTGGCAACGAAACAACCCAATGTGGTCGATTGTAAGGAAATAAAGCATATCAGCTTCCAACTTTGGTGCATTTCTCAGTTCTAAGCAAAGGCGGTAAGACGTGTGATTAAATTTTTGCGAAAAAGACTTTTAAAATTACAGTCAAACTTTGTTATCTCAAACCCATTATCTCATATTTCATGGATATGTCAAAGTAATTTTGAAGTCCAAACCATTTATAAAAGACTGGGACATTTTATTCTTGATAACTCTTTATGTATTATTCTTGAGTCCACGGATATTTCCAACATTTTTCTTGGTCTCATTGAGTTTGAGATAATGAGGTTCGACTGTAATGACTAGATATTTGTACATAAAGATGCAGGAAATATAAGATTAATAACCAAAAATCATATTTTCTTCTCCAGATTGACATTGTCACTGAAGAAACAGCTGATGTCGGCTTACAATCTGGAGTCCATCAAGGCTGTTGCATGCGGTATCACTCATGAAGATGATGCTTTGAGAAAGTATGAAAAGGACTTTGATGCAGCTGCAGAGCAGTCAGGTATACAGCACAAAATAACATTCATTCAACCTCTGACATGTTAATATTCAATGTGTCAAAACAAATAACAGGACTTATCCTGGTGACAAACAGAAATCAATTACTGAAGTCTAATTGTAAAAAAAAACTAGAAATATGTCCATAGGACATGAATGCCCCGCCGAGGATATATTAGTAAAGCAACATGAAATTTGTACATGTATAAAATTTGATCAGTTTGGTTCAGGCAGGGCTTATAGTTAGTTGGGAATAAAAATGTAGGTCCAGCATCCAAAGCAAGTCTGGTAGTGTCCATCCCTAGATGCATCATCCATGCAAGTTTGGTTCAGGTAGGGTTTATAGTTACTTGGGAATGAAAATAAAGGTCAGATCCAGCATCCGAAGCAAGTCTGGTAGTGTCCATCCCTAGCTGCATCATCCGTGCAAGTTTGGTTTAGGTAGGGCTTATAGTTACTTGGGAATAAAAATGTAAGTCAGATCCAGCATCCGAAGCAAGTCTGGTAGTGTCCATCCCTAGATGCATCATCCATGCAAGTTTGGTCTAAGTAGGGCTGATAGTTCCTTAGGAATAAATCTGCTCCAAAAACTTCAACCTGGTCACTCATCTGGAAAATATAGGTCAGATCCAGCATCCGAAGCAAGTCTGGTAGTGTCCATCCTTAGATGCATCATCCAAGCAAGTTTGGTCTAAGTAGGGCTTATAGTTCCTTAAGAATAGACCTGCTCCAAAAACTTTAATTTGGTCACTCATCTGGAAAATGTAGGTCAGATCCAGCATCCGAAGCAAGTCCAGTAGTGTTCATCTCTAGATGCATCATCTATGCAAGTTTGTATCAACATGTAAAGTTTGATAACACCATCTTGAATGGTATGTTTAAAACTGAGCTAAACACTATTTAAGAAAAGTCAGGTCAAGGTCAAAGGAAAGGTCAAGGTCAAAAAATGTTGTTGCAGTTGCATAGCTCTCATCAATATCTATCAGCATATGAAGTTTGATGAAAATATCTTGGATAGTTTCTTTGAAACTTAGCTTTGAACAGAGCTAAACACAAAGTGGGATGGAAGGACAGAAGGACGGAAGATGGACATGACAAACACTATATGCCCCGGCCATATTCATGGCGGGGCATAAATATTCAGTTACCAACATATTCCAGAAAATTTGCTTTTTGAAGTGGAAGGATTATAAAAGCTCTACTTAGACTTTGTTTGCATTACAAAATCAATTGTATTATGGTTTGTTTGCATTCAGTAGTATTATAATTTTTTCTGAAAAGGATATGGTTGCATGAATCCGGAGTGTTAGGAGCTTCACCTGATGGCTTAGTTGTTCGACCACCAACATGCAGTGTATTTTATCAAACTCCAGAAGCCAAAGACGCCATTCCTGATATTGTAGAGGTGAAGTGTCCATATACAGCATCGTCTTCAACAGTAGCAGATGGGGCACAAAATTTGAAGGATTTTTCATAGGTAAATAACATTAAAAATCTGTATTGTCCAGTACTTTGAAATTAAAAATCTTGGTGAGTAAATGATTTCAAAACATGTATTAATTTACAAGTGCAGCTGTTCAATATGGTATGAAGATAGTGAAAAAGGAGGGGATATGTACTGGTATAACACAACTTAAGTGTTTTTTGATTTTTTTTTAGATCTTAAACAAGATACCCTGTGCCTGAAAACCAGTCACCCATACTGTCATCAAATTCAAGGCCAGCTACACATATGTATTAACAAAACATTCTGCGACTTAATTGTGTGGACAAGAGTAGACTGCATTGTGATTAGAATAGTAAAAGACATTGAATGGACAGCAAATGTTCCAAAGCTGATAGATTTCTACATTAACATTTTCATTCCAGCACTGATGGAAAACTGAGTTCTGGTTTGAACTTCTTGACACTTAGTTTTGTACCTCTAGAATTTTCTAACAATGGAAAATGGGTAATCATGTTAAATGTGTTGAATGTTCCTCAGTCTCATAAATGTATGACATGATATGTCACAATCCATCATAAAACTTCTGGCTTATAAGACTATTTTAAATAGCAATGATGATTAATAAAATCTATGTACTACATAAAAAAAGAATATCAAAATTTAGAATCATTTTATTAATGAATTGAAGATGTTATTCTCAAAGTGAAAATGTAACATTTTTGTCTTTCTTAATAGATAAATTGTTGAAAACATGAATTTGTTGAGTTGTGCTTTAAAGGTAAATATACTTTAAACTAGAGATTTAAAATTATAAGTAAACCCTCTTCCAAATTACATTGTCAAATGAAGAATGGAATTGCCAAACATTCTTGTAATAAATCCATGCTAACAAAAGGGATTTTCATTTTCTGAAGTACATGTATTACAACATACTACAAAATTAACAAATATAACCATTGACATTGATAACAAATCAAAATTTGCTTATCCCTTGCACTTTGGTATGAATATCTTCACTGTTTAGTGTATACTGTCACACGCCAATGCAAATTTATAATAAGTACATGTATCTTTAAGTAATTTCTTTCAAAAGTGGAGCTTGCAAGTTTACAAGACAAGAACAGAGTTGAAATATTTTTGTTGAGATTGGTCTGTAAGTAGATGGTATGTAACGGAGAATCTCGTAATTCTTTATCCTCTCGTTGGCTCTTTCCACATGAATAAGTGCTTTAGCAATCTTGAAACACAGTGCAGTGCTGCTTCTTGTATGGTAAACTGGCCTCGTGTCGATAAAAGAGCTTTTATAATTAAGCAGACACCCTGGGGCAATTGGTCATGAATGGTGAAACCTTTAACCACCAAAATAAGGTCTCCAGCTTTGAACTTTCGTAAAACTTGGCTGTGACGTACAATAGCTACATCAGAAGTAGAACCTGGGTACAGCATGGAGCAAAATGTAAGTGCACCATTTGGAGGCACGCAAGTTACTGCTTTAAAAGTATGGCAACTTTTGTACATACTGTAGGCCATGGCCTGATTATCCATATGTGTTGGGATGTCCTGGGTTGTTTCAATTGCATCCATGGATGCTCTAGCAGAGGAAAAATCCTCAAAAGATTCTGGCAGAGACCCTGAAAAAAAGTTGGAAAAAAATTAATTTGATTATTTGTAATTGTGTAAAAAAATTGTGTTACAGTCAATTTTTCAAGAATACAATAAATTTAACTGCATTAAATTTTTGCAAGTCATTATGATAAATTTTAAAACAAACCTTTGCATTTAAGCTGACTTGGAAAACATTCTACGCTACATTCTACACTACGCCATCAGACAGCATCTTGTATAGGGAAAAGACCACTAATTATTTTCCCATAGAACTCCATACAAACCTTAGGCCTTCTCAGTACTTTACTATCACAATTTCAGAAAAATCTTTAGCATCATTTCAAACTTTGTTCTAAGCCCTAACAAAAAATACTGAAAAAAATATATGGTCCCATGGCGTTTATAGGTCAAAATTGCAGTTATTTTCAACTTATAGAGATTCGCAGTAAATAACACACGGCATAAAAAATCAACCCCCACTCCTAAAATCTTCCCTGGCATTTCTATAGTTTCTGTAATATTCCCTCATCCTATCATTTATTTCAAAGGTCATTAATTTTACTTTAAAATGAAAACAATTAAATACCTGATTTCAGCCAATGGCGTAACGCCTACCCATTCAGTATTCGGTTTAATGTTCCATAACAAACAAAGCCATGTGTGCATCCGGGGATTTGGTGCTCTCATTCCTATACTTACATACTTACCTGTCCCAGAATTAGTCAATTGTGGTAATTTCAAAGACTATACACCTACCTGTGAACATGTATGAAATTTGAGTCCTGTGACTTCAGTGTATTGGATACTGTGACCATCTCAAATAATGACACCTTACTGCTACCAGCACAATTCAAAGGAGTGAATGACGTCTGGGCCGGTGATGATATTATTCGATCTACCCAGAATTAGGTAAAAAGCTCCAAAATTGGATAAATCATAGTTAATTAAGCAAAATTCAAAGGTTTCAAAAAGACTGATATAGAATTTTTTTATGCTTATGCAAAGTATATTATTTAAGAATCTGATATACTAATTGATTCTTATCTAATCCCTCCTATTGCTTAAGTATGTACAAAAAAGTTTCCCCACCCCCCAGTGAAAAACACTTAAAGAAATAGCAGGTGTCCCCTTTTATTTTTGTTTACAATTAATTTAGACAAGTTTAAATCAATCCTTTTGATAACAAATCAAAGTTCAATGTCTGTAGTCTTATACATTACAATCAGAAGCTACTTTTTGAATTTTATTCTAAGAAAAGGAGAATTTAAATAATTTTTTTTTAAAAATTAAAGAAAAGCAAAAACTGACTTCAAACCCCAAAATGTACTATACAATAAGAGGCTGGAAAGTTAATAAATAAAAAATTTACCTGCAATGTACAGAAAACTGTCCGACAAAATACATCGGGTGGGTAGGCAGTCTCCATTTTCTTCTTAGATAGAGAAAATGCCCCTGCTGATCAGAGACCTAACACTCCCAAATAATAACAAAATATGTTAACATAACAGTCAATATAAGATGTTCATCCCTCAATGGCAACAAGTTTTTATTACAGTAACTGAAATTGTTAGGAAATAGGAAATCACAATTGGAATTCCTTTAAATGTACCTTCTCTTCGTTGTATTTAATATCGTGGATTGATATTGGCTTCCTTTTACTAGACTCTATTTTTAGGGCAAGCAATTCCTTTTCCAGTTGTATTTCTGTTGAGAGGCGCTGCATTTCTTGAGTACAGTTAAATGTGCAGGATGCTGAGTAGTTGTGCTCTGATATCAACTGAAAATATATTGTAAATCATGTACAGTTAAAAGAACTTTATATATTATTAAAAATTATTGAAAATGTTTCAGTGTTGGTCATTTGTCATCATTGGTGTTTTAAATGAGCTTTACTTTTTCTTGATATTGACATTTTGGTGCTTGTGGAATCTGCAACTGGTCCATCTGTGAAGATGACAGGGACTCCTCACTTTTGAGTTTTTTCCTCCTTTGTAAAATAATTAAACTTGAATTATTTTTTATTCAGTTGTAAGCTACTCTGTTTATACATGTACCCTTTTAAAGATTTTTAGTAAAATATTCTCAATTAAACTCCACCCACCCACCATCCAAAAACAAGATGTCGGTCATATTTTGAAAAATAATTTCACCTTTTTGTACATTCAGGATCAGAGAAATCCATGGCCTTTCCTTCATTCCATGCAAAATATGCAGGGTCCCCCTCCTTCTTACCATCCTTAAAGTGGCAGGAGCAGATGCTATCATTCTGATCTCCTGGTTGGCGATCAGCTCGTCTAAAAATATACATTATACAAAGACTGAGTGAAGGAGAATTAAAAAGCAAAACATGTTCATTTAGCATGTTATTATCAAATACCCTAAATGACTTATTTTTTCATTATTTTTTTTTTTAAATGTTACATTTACTTGCAAGTACAAGATAACCATGTGCATTATAAACATTAACAAAACGGTAGCAGTATATTGGTAGTAATAATACGAAATAAAATGTAATAAAAACAGCTGTTAAACAAAAATTAATCTTGCTACAAATTGCACAGTTTTTGTAGTATGTACTCTTCATTATTCTTCTGCTATATTGATTACTACGAGATTTAACTTTTTAGCATGCATGTATAAATACTGTATCTGACAATGCAGCATCGTGACATATCGTTACAAGTACCTACAAATTTTGTCAATATATCTACGTTTACTGAGTTTTTTCCCTAGCAGGCCGAAATATCTCCATCATGTCACCAGGAACAACATTCGTGCATCTCGTAATTAGTGCTGCAATAAACAAACTGATGTGTTTTTTCTCACCTGCATGGTTTTCCCGACGCTTCAGCTACTTTCGTTATTTCTAACCAATGAAAATTGTCCTTACTTTTCTGTTGCGTCATGCAATTTTATTGCACGCATCACTGAATTGTAGAACACACATCACAAGATTTCGAATATACATCACAAGATTATCGAACATACATCACAAGATTTCGAATATACATCACAAGATTATCGAACATACATCACAAGATTTCGAATATACATCACAAGATTTCGAACATACATCACAAGATTATAGAATATACATCACAAGATTTCGAATATACATCACAAGATATTGAATATACATCACAAGATTTTGAACATACATCACAAGATATTGAATATACATCACAAGATTTCGAATATACATCACAAGATTTCGAACATACATCACAAGATTATAGAATATACATCACAAGATTTCGAATATACATCACAAGATATTGAATATACATCACAAGATTTTGAACATACATCACAAGATATTGAATATACATCACAAGATTTCGAATATACATCACAAGATTTCGAACATACATCACAAGATTATAGAATATACATCACAAGATTTCGAATATACATCACAAGATATTGAATATACATCACAAGATTTTGAACATACATCACAAGATATTGAATATACATCACAAGATTATAGAATATACATCACAAGATTTCGAACATACATCACAAGATTATAGAATATACATCACAAGTTTTAGAATATACATCACACGATATTGAATATACATCACAAGATTTTGAACATACATCACAAGATATTGAATATACATCACAAGATTATAGAATATACATCACAAGATTTCGAACATACATCACAAGATTATAGAATATACATCACAAGTTTTAGAATATACATCACAAGATATTGAATATACATCACAAGATTTTGAACATACATCACAAGATTTTGAATATACATCACAAGATTTCGAACATACATCACAAGATTTTGAATATACATCACAAGATTTTGAATATACATCACAAGATTTCGAACATACATCACAAGATTTTGAATATACATCACAAGATTTCGAACATACATCACAAGATTTTGAATATACATCACAAGATTATCGAATATAGCAACGTTTGACATGCCATACTTTTGCATTAAATCCTGAACTAAATGATGTATAGAAAAAAATAAACAGTAATCAAGCTCAAACGTCCATTCAAATAATACAAATAGGGGGCAGAGCTAACACGGACCTCTAAAAAACATGAGAGGCGGGATCAACTGCCATGGAGGAGTGAGTATCCCTTGTGACCGATCCCATCCGCCATGTGCTCCTAATCATGGACGTGAAAACGTAAAAATAATGAGGAAAATTCAATGTCTAAATAATGGCCCAAGAATTAGAATAAAAAAGTCAGTCAGCATTGGACTTGATAATAGATTTATTAAAATAATGATTTTAAACAAAACTGTTTATATTCCTGTTTCATCGATTTGTTTGTCAATAGCTTGCTTTCTTTTAAAACGTGTTTGTATGTAGAGCAAGCTCTTGCGTATCGAAACAAGTTGAAGATATAAACCTACAATGCAGGTGATAAGGGTACTGTATATTACCACATAATTAAAAGAAGTTGCCAAGAATTTGTATTCCTCTTTGTTTATTTCAGACGAAATAGTACTTGTGTTTCATGAAATATCCATTTCGAAGTGTATAAAATCCAGATCAAGAAGAGCCTCGCTATTTCTCGAGTCTTATTCTTCATAACTAATCTCCTTCTTCCCTTTTAATCTCCAGTGGATAACTTAATTGGCTTCTTTCTTTCGTGACTGACTTTCCTTTCAATAAAAGAATCCGTCATCTGTTGATTAAAAATCTGAATCTACATCAAATCTGTGACAGAATCCTCAACCGAGACATGGGAGTGCAGAAAAAGAAGTCTTTGATCAGGTCATTTATTTTGTTCTCCAAGAAAAGAAACATTAACGTTTGATGTTCGATATATTATTACAGATTATAAATGAGAAATATATAAATCTTCAATTAATTGCATGTAGAGAATTTAGGGTCGTAAATACCCATAAATACCGAAAACAAAAGAAATCGGTCTTTAGGAATGAGTCGCTCTCCAGTACATGTAGTTTGGCTGATTTTCAATTTAGATATTTTTAGCTCACTTGAGCAAGAAGGTCAAGCGAGATTTTTCTCTCTTTTTTTTTAAGAACTAAGTTTTTTTCATTCAATCCTTATTTTCTCCATTGGGAGATCTGAAAAGTTCCAGAGTCTGCAAGACCAGATTCTATCAGCTGAGGTTTGTTGTCCATGGGGCTCTTGTTTCTATAGTATTTAAATGTTTGGTCTACTTTGCGAACGATGAATCTAATTTAGTTGAAAAAGCATTTTCCGTATTATTTTTTAACTTTAAATAGGGTATTAGGATAGCTCAAAGAACTAATTACGACAATTGATTACACAAGTAACGCGACATAATGATAACAAAATGGTGTATGATTGTCGCTAAGGGAAAGACATAAAATTACGTCTTTAAATAATCGGAATGTAAAGATAAATGATTTTTACATCTTTCGAATAAAAATTATTGTCATTTTATTATGATTGACATTATTAAAATTTTAGATAGCTCAAATAAATGATGTCGCTCTACCGTTGGAATTTTTACTGATTATAACAAAATGAGCTTCTTTATTTGTGAATAAATGTTTCTCTTCAAATAGAACTTAACGATAATTCGTTTTAACTGATTACTTTTCATCTTGCAATTTCATCTGATTATACTCATATCGCAATTTGGTTTGAATAAAGACCGTCTCTTGTTGCTATTAATGAACTAAAGATTTGCATTTTCAGTTTTATTGCAACTGGATTTCTACACATTCTGCTTGCGCAAAGAACCTTTGAAGAATCAAATAAAGATTTAATCGTTTGAATTTGAAGTGAAGGAAAATTGTTCAGAATTCAAAATTATATGATTCTGCAAATCAAAACTGCCATTGTACTACGTATATGTAAAATGCTTTTGTGTCCAATCTGACATCTTTAATACATCTTCCTATAATGCTTCAAAATATGTCCGTTAGAAGAATTATAGATTTTTAAGGATATCGTTTTAAGAATCTTAGCCTTTGGGCACAACAGTAGATCACGGATTAATATCCATCATGCATAATAGTATATTACTGTATATGAATGATTTGACCATTGTATGGCTTGTATGAAAACATCTGAAGCTGTGGATTATGCTTTTGTTTGGAAAAATTATAACTGTTAATTTTTTAACGCATCAAGCATATCAAGGAGGCTGGGGGTCAACAAATTAACCACCAGATTTTAACTTAATTTTTAGATATGATAGCTTAAGCATACATTATAGTTTTAAAATCTGATCATTTTAGTATATCTTTATATGGAGCTCTTCTTCTAAAGGAGGTCAAAATAGTCTGAAAATGGCCACGATCCCCCAGCCCCTTTAAGGAAGACAATATTCATGGTCCGTTACAGCAGTGAGTAAAATAAGGCGAATATATCTTTATGTAATTACAGCCTAAATTAAAAGCTTTTATTCGCACCAAACTTTACTCTGTCCCTCTGGAACTTTTAAATAGTCTTCTTGAAAAGGTCAAGGAAAGCCCATTTTTGATTCTTCAACACCAGAATACAGGCTCGATCTTTGATTATGCATATTGCAAATCATAGGCTTTTTAAAAGCCCACGTTTTACTGATGGGAATCTATGTAGTTTTTGGAGACCATGTCTTTCAACAATCTGTTGGAATTCCCATGGGTACAAATTGCGCCAAGTTTATTAGCAGACCTATTTTTATACTCATATAAAGCAGAATTTGTGCAAAATCTTATGCGTGAAAAAAGAAAACACTTGCTGTGGCTTCAACTCGATATTTAGATATATGTATTGTTATTTAACAATGGTAATTTCTATTCTCATGTCGAAACGATATATCATGGTGAGTGAGAGAAAAAGATACCACAGAGTCTGACACGTCTGTACCATATTGGGATATTTTACTTGAAAAAGACGTTAATGGTTATCTGATAACCAGGCTCATTGATAAACGTGATGGGTTTATATATCTCAGTTGATTCGATACGCAAGACCTTGCTCTACGAATGAATAATTTGTAAAACGAGGTAAATTATTGACACACAAACTAGTTGATGAAACAAGAATTTCAGCAGTCTTCTTTAAAGTTATCATTTCGTAAGTTCTATGGTCGATTCAATGGCATTGTCAGCAAATACAATTTATCATTGAGTCAAATGCTGACTGACGTTTTTCATATAAATTTTTAGTCCATTGTTTGTACACTGAACCGTTATTTCAATTCCGATCATTACAAGGAGGACACGGCGGGTGTGACCAGTCGGTAGGGGATACTCACTCCTCCATGGCACCAGATCCAACCTCCGGTGTTTTGGAGGTCCGAGTTTGCTTTGCTCCTATTTGATATTGTTTTATGGACTTATGATCTTGAATATTGTTCAATATTCAATATATTTCTCCATATACTTTATAACTATTATGAGAGTAATGATTTATTTGATCCTGCATATAATTTATTATTACAACATTCAATCGGCGGGGGGATAAATTCTAAATGATTTTTTTTTTTACATATTATATGTCAGTCAATACTTTTGATATTCTCGACAACCAAAATAAATTCGAATAATATACATGTACATGTATCTATATTGGATTCCGAAACCTCATAAAAATTACACTTTCAAATCGAAGATAGCGGATTCAAATAAATGTTCCATCAAATTACTTTCTTTGGTGTTTAATAAACAGCAGTAGAGAGGAAACATCAGGGCTACTGTGGTTTAAATCAGATTTGGATACTTAAAGAAAATTGTTGAAAATTTGAAATCATAAGACTCTTTTATATTAAAGCTTGGTTATTAGATTAGCGTTCACGTCTTTTACAGTAAATTATCCAAATATCCAAACAGATATAACAGACTCTGCGGTATCTCTTTTACTGCACGCTCAATAGGATATATCTGTTTCATATTTGGATATTTTACTATAAAAGACATGAACGGTAATCTAACAACCAAGCTTTAAGATAAAAGATAAACGATATCTTCTTAACTGTTACTTCCCTTATTTAATATGCAGCAATATACCTTTAACACATAAATATATAGTTTATTTCTCTCATTATTAGTTAATTCGATACGTCAGAGCATGTTTTACATGAAATATATGGAGATAAAAAAACAGCATTCAAGCTCAGAAGTCCATTAAACAATGCTAAACTGGAGCAGAGCAAACATGGACCTCCAGAATATCAGAGATTGGATCAGATTCCATGAAGGAATGAGCATCCCCTGCCGACCGGTCACACCAACCGTGTGCACAATGACCATAGAATTTATGAATAAATGGTTATCTTTAACGAGACTTCTGATATTCTGGTTTCAGCATCTTGTTTGTCGTTAATTTAGCTCGTTTTACAGATTGTTCATACGTAGACCATACTCTCGTATATCGAATCAACCGAGAGATATAACCCCGTATGCAGGTTTTGAAAGTATATTGCTGCATCAGTAAGGGAAGTTGGCGATTGAAACGATTAGATCATCATGTTTATTTAGAGCTTAGTTGTTAGATTACTTTTGTCGTTTTTTCAAGAAAAATAACTAAACATAAAACGAATGTGTCAGACTCTGTGGTACCTTTAATTTTATTTCAAACGCCTCGGGATATATTGCATCGGTATAAGAATGAAAATAACCCTATTTAATTGACAATACGTCGCCGATATATCTAAATGTCACGTTGATGGCCATCGCGGGTGTTTTCTTCCTCTCAGGTATAAGATTTTGAACAAAGTCTGCTTCATTTGAATACAAAAATAGGTCTGCTAATAACGGGCGCAATTGATACCCATGGAAATTCCAACAGATTGTTGGAAGACCTGGTCTCCGAAAACCACAAAGATATTGTCGATCAGAAATTCGAGCATCTTTTTAATATGAAATTCAGAGTACTTAGGTGTACAATCAGAATGTTTTTAACAAAATAATTTTGCAAATGGTCAATGATAAGATAAGTAAATTTACGAGTGTCATTCATTGAAAAAGCAGCTGTCAATATGAAAATGCCTGAACTTTATTTTATCGTGGGAAATGGTTCTATATTAAGTTGATAAGACGTTATATGCTGTTGATTTTGGTAAAATTTTGTGATTTAGAATTTTCCAACAGTTCCTTGGAATGTTTAAGTGCATATCTGATTAACACCACTTCTCGAATATATTGTTGCACACTACTCCTAAAGTTTCTTCTTCACTACTCTTAATATCTTACTAGCAAGTAAAAGGCTTGGAAGAACATTTACTAGAACCTGCTGAGTACATGCATCTTTGTAAAGATTTTTGTGAAGTTCTGAAACTCAGTATAGATGTGGTAACTCAATTTCATTCTCGTTGTTGGGAATATTAAAAATATTCACAACTGAACTTAAAGAATTTCCTTCTTAAAAGGGGAACTATAGATATACTAGTAAGTTTGAATATGAAAAAAATCTAAAACGATGTAATTTATTTACAAGTAAGTTGATAAAACTAGAATATCAATAGGTTTGTTAAAAGGCATTATTTCATAAGTTCTATGGTCGATACAATGACCTTGTTAGCAAATACAATTTATTATTAAGTCAAATGTTAGAACATTATTTATACACTTATTTTTCCGTAATTTCCTAATCATGACAAGGAGCACACGGCGGGAGTGATTCCTCCATGGCACCTGATCCCACCTCTGATATTTTAAGAGATCCGTGTTTGTTCCAATCTGCATCGTTTGAATGAACATCTGAGCTCAGATACTATTCGCTATCTCCATTTATTACATCTTATAGACAGAAAAATAAAAATGCTGCAGTGTTATTATTTTTATATTCAAAAGGATGATGGATTTCATATACCCAGTATACTCTACCAACCCACGGAAAACATGACGAATTCTTCCGATGTCATCTTTCATATCATATCACTTCCGAATACATGTACTTTTGTATTTTGTAATATAATCAAGCTGTAAATATCTCATTTAACGCCTATAAATTCCTATAAGGATACCTTATCGATGGATATGGTTATTAGGTATACCAATTTGTCAATAGCTGGCGTCATTTATCGCTAATGTAATCTATCCAGCAAGCAAAAGTACATGTAACGGCAAAAAACCTCGTTAGTGCTTTATAAAGTAGATGTATGTCTGTTAGATATAACTGTGATTAAATAAGTTAAGAATTCGATAACTCGCCTTAATCTTATTGTTGCCCACGTGTTATAGGTATGATTTCATGATGCAGGTATGACTTATTTCCATCTCAAACATTTTAATTCACACATTCAATTCATCCAGTACATTTTTGACTAAATTATTTATTTTTACTCGGAAACCAGAAATGCCAGGTGTAAAGTAAAACAGAAATAGATCTACAATATCCAAACAAAACAAACGATTTTTTTAAGTTTAAAATCGTTCATGTATTTATTTGAGCATTAGCACCCTACGTACTTTAATAGAAATCAGTCATTTTTAAACATCATTTATTACCACATATTACAGTGAACATTATAAACATAAACTTTACACATGCCATAAACATCAGACTGGATTCGAGGGATGTGATTCGATTCCCGCATGTCAGAGGTGATGACGTCACGGCTATCGCTGATGAATATCTCCACACCTGTCGCACCGTGCCATGGGACACATATACCAATCACACTGGCAGGGACATACGGTCGCCATCAATATTTCATAATCACGATGATGAGGGTTTTTTGACGATTTCATCATTTTCTATCACATATTCCCCGCTATCAAATTTCTCGTTGATGTCTTTGGCGTAACAGCTATTGAAGAGATCGTGGGCGGTGAACTCGCTCTGTTGGATGGGGTTTATGTCGTACGGCACATATGGCTTCAGCTGTAAATATCAAACAACGACTCACTTTAAGACGACACAACAGTCATTGACTTAAGGTAGCCTTAACATCATTAAGGATCTCGAGCTGCTCATTACCTAGGTAACCAAAATAATAAAGCATGATTAAGTACAAAAGTAAACACTGGGACCGGGGATTATGTTTTATACGACATCATAAAACAAAAGAAGACAGGTGTTGCTAAATGTATCAGAAATTCAATACGTGTTTATCTTGGATGTCCATCACCTGCACAAAAGACAAACAGTTACTACCTCCCATATATAATCCACTAATCCTTATCTTTGGCGGATCCAGGGGGGTGAGGTGCTGTTGGTTGGAGAAGCCATTCATTTGCCAAGACGAAATTAAAAGAGAGAGGGAGGCAAAAGACTTTTTGTTGGATTATATTATTACACCTAAGACATTTTGAATATGAGCGTAGTCCAAACAGCTGGAGCGGCAGCAGTCTACGCTTATATTTCACTTGCAAAAGATGGGTTCTTACTTTTTTTTTCTTTCTCCAGTTACCTATCCCTCTTTTTCAGCGCTTTAGCTTCTGGGTGGAAAATATTCTACTTAATATATGAATAAATGACAAGTAACATGCGAGATTCAATTTGTTTTTCGATTCCGACGATCTTTGGCTTTATACCATTTCCGAAGCATATTCAAGGTATACGTAAAAAGCCACAGCAAATTAATTCTTTGTTTCACTTCCCCTGGACACTTCTAGGTAAAAACTCCAATAATTGATCAGACATGTGTTAGCCTTTTCCTTTATGGGGGAAATACAGGTAATGCTTAAAGTGGCCGCTATTGGACATATGTTTGAGAAATATACTTTTGAAAGTCTTTCCTACCAAAAAAAAAAAATCATTACCATGAAATAAAATTCGTTCTCACGAAATTAAATTTGGTTCCCACGAAAAGTTCGTTCCCACAAATTAATTTCATTCCAAGAAATTAACAAGAGGCCCATGGGCCACATCGCTCACCTGAGAATCTTTTGTCATATTGTTCTTTACCAGATTTCGCCCCTTGTAATACATATTGTGGCCCCGCCCTACCCCCGGGGGTCATGATTTGAACAAGTTAGAATTTACACTACCCCAGGGTGCTTCCACATCAGTTCCAGCTTTTCTGGCCCAGTGGTTCTTGAGAAGAAGATTTTCAAATATTTTTCCTATATATTACTATGTAAAACATTGATGCCCCATTGTGCCCCCCCCCCTTCCCTCGGGGGTCATGATTTGAACAATTTAGAATCTACACTACCCCAGGGTGCTTCCACATCAGTTTCAGCTTTCCTGGCCCAGTGGTTCTTGAAAAGAAGATTTTCAAAGATTTTTCCTATATATTTCTATGTTAAACATTGATGCCCCATTGTGGCCCCGCCCTACCCCGGGGGTCATGATTTGAACAATTTAGAATCTACACTACCCCAGGGTGCTGCCACATCAGTTTCAGCTTTTCTGGCCCAGTGGTTCTTGAGAAGAAGATTTTCAAAGATTTTTCCTATATATTTCTATGTAAAACTTTGATTCCCCATTTTGGCTACGCCCTACCCCCGGGGGACATGATTTGAACAATTTAGAATCTACACTACCCCAGGGTGCTTCCACATCGAATCAGCTTTTCTGGCGCAGTGGTTCTTGAGAAAAAGATTTTCAAAGATTTTTCCTATATATTTCTATGTAAAACTTTGATTCCCCATTGTGGCCCCGCCCAACCCCCCGGGATCATGATTTAATCAATTTAGAATCTACACTATCCAAGGGTGCCTCCACCTAAGTTTCAGCCTTATTGGCCCAGTGGTTCTTGAGAAGAAGATTTTTTAATGACCCCACCCTATTTTTGTCTTTTCTTGATTATCTCCCCTTGTGAGGGGACTTGGCCCTTCATTTTAAGAATTTACATTTCCCTTCACCCAAGGATGCTTTGTACCAAGTTTGGTCAAAATTGGTCCAGTGGTTCTTGAGAAGAAGTCGAAAATGTGAAAAGTTTACAGACGGATGGACAGACAGACGGACGGACGGACGGACGGATGACGGACAAAATGTGATCAGAAAAGCTCACTTGAGCCTTCGGCTCAGGTGAGCTAAAAATTCGTATTCATAAAATCAGATTTCGTTCAAACGAAATAAAAATTCGTTTACAAACAAATATGAAAAGAAATCATGCAGAGAGTATGAATTATTTATTGTATTTGTAACAAAATGACCTTGACATTTTATCAACTTCAATCCTAATCCTATGGTGATCAGCAAACTTCTAATAGTTTACTTACAAAATTCCAGTATTCTTGTGTTTGTGGGGAGTTTTACTTGTATTATGGTCTTTGATCTTTTAACTCAGTTTACAGTTAAAATATATCTTTCAAAAATTAATTATTGGCATCTAATTTTTATAAACATAACATGAACACATATAAATATGCAAAAAAAGATTTCTCTATTCCCAACTAATCCTGTGATCAATAAGAAATGTATATGGCTAGTAAATTTATTAAAATTAATGCACTGATACATGTAGCTCTTAAATGATTATTTATGCTCTCTTTGGGGAATATATAAACATATACATGTATTTACATAACTGATGATGTACATAGAAATATTGTTCTAACCTTGCAGTCTTTAAGATCTGGGACAATTAATTCTGGTGTCATTTCCTTCACTCTGAAAAATCTTTTATATTTCATGTGAATAAATCCAGTGGGTTGAACATCTGGAAAAAAAAATTACACACATAATTGTTCATGTTAATGATATAAAGTATTCATAAATTTGGGAATCAATAATATTAATGTAAATGTGACATAAAGTGTGGATTGTAGGTTTTAGTTTATGGGTATTACTGAAGAATCAGATAATTTACTCAGTACCTAGATAAACTATAAAAAGAATAAAAATACCTATAAAGTACAACTGTAATTAACACTTGTAAAATCTATCTAGCTGGAAATAAAATGAGTTTGCTCAAAAACTAAGCTGTTGAATACTTCTAAGCAAATATGTATTTCAAATGTTTGAGTAACTGTGTGCTGTCTTGTGTTTTTGAGGGAAAAAGTGTGATGAAATAGCTAAATCAAGCTTTTCTGAATAACTTAAAAAAGCTATATAGCTAATTATAAATAAAGCTACTATAGCTTGCGCCGGACCTGACACAGGAACTTGTTTCTGTAGTAGAATTTACCATAATCATTGTCAAATAATCTTTTCATAGTCATAGTACTACTAGAGATGTAAGGACAAGAGCATGTGTACCTTGTGTGCAATCTTTTTGCAAAACGACACTGAACATGACACTGAAAGAAGATCAATAAATATTGGTCATGCCCGGATCTAGAGGTGAGGTTTAGACCCCATCCTGCCATCCACTCCCTTGAGTTGGTTGAGTAAGAAAATGTATAATTATACTAATCCAAGTAACCTTGGATCCCATTCAAAAACGCATCTCTGTGAAGTATGAAAAGTCATAGGTAGGCCTACAGAGCTTCCAATTTCAACGACTAAGACCCCAATTTGTTACTTTGGGAAATGAGGTGATGTTTTTTATTTGCTTGTCATAAAAATTTCTGGGTTTTTTTTTTTTGTGGACTGGGCTGGAAACCCCCCCCCCCCCCCTTTCCCTGGAAAAATTTCCTTGATCCGCGCCTGTTTCAGTGACTGTAATGTTTACAAACTTTCAAAGAGCGGAAAGAAAGATAACTCTAACGTATTCTTACTACACAACATGGTTGGGAAAACATCAACGCGATTCCATTTGCTATAAAAACAGCAATATATTAAATTAATATCATACGATAATATAACTAATATTAAGTGAAGATTGAGATAAAACTCACGGTGGAGTGCCACTTTCTCAGCTAGTTCCCGGCTCCCTCCACGTCTCCTCTCATTCACGTGTTTTGCCGAAACGGGATATCGCTCATCAAAAGGTCGTCTGCTCCGCTTAGCAGGCCATATTGGTGGTTTTCTGAAGACACTAGTCGTTGTACTAAACGTTCTTTTCAAACAGTGCACACAAATGTTTTGGTTCATTTCGACAATTTTTTTGTCATTGAATTATGTGTGTAACCTCAAATAGGAAATCTTCCTCGCCAACTAAAAATAAACACTTGACTAATGGTCATATGTATTCCGGATTAAACAGAAAAGGACAATGGAATGAATTATCACTCTTAGAAGTTGTGGTATTTTGCTAGCTTGAGGGGAAGAAGTTGCACTGAGGCTAATTTCCATTTTTAAAGAATGTCTATACAAACGCGCCTTCACTGACCTTTTTGTTATGAATTATCGGTTCCTGTCGCTGTTTTATATTCGGTCCGCATTACTTTGTTAAAGCACATTTTTAGCCGGGCTTATTGCTCAAAGAGCAATTGCCGGCTTATGTGATCCTGTTCAAGACAGGATGTTAACCCCATAGTCGCCATTTTAAAGTTACGTGTAAAAATATAGTTCTTACTCTCAACCGCTTTTGAGATAATACAAACGCTAAATAAAGCAACAAAAATAAAACGAAGTTTTATCTAAATAAATAAACATATTTAGTACCTTTGAAAACTTCAGTCTTAAGTCAAAGAACATAGTTCATTGGTGTAAGGAGTTTTGATAATTAAGGTTTTTAGAATAACAATCTCAACATAGTGATAAAATTATTCTATTGAATCAAACTGAAGTTTCATAACAGAAAATTATCAGATAAAGTATAGCTGGAAGTTGTAAGTGTTGTAACTTTTGTATATATCTTACACGTTTACTTAAGGCATACATCATTTACCTCAGCACAAAATACTTGCTTTGCAAATAAACTTAGTATTAGAAAACGACAGTATTGTGTTGCAAGTTTCGATAAAATTGTATAAAGATTTAGAACATAAATATAGGAAAAATGTGTTGGTAACACCAAGGATATTTGCATAACACAAAGGACATAAAGGTTACACTAAGGATATTTTGTGTAATACTTAGAAAGAAATAATAAAGTTGTTCTCCTTCCTTCCGAAAAGGATAGTAATGAAATTACCCTAGAGGTGAATATAAGAGTATATGGTTTTAACATAAAAAATTAGCGGGGGATTTCTTTCATTATACATTTTGAGTCTGACTAGTAACACCAAGGATAAAACAGTAACGACATAGACATAACTATCCAATCATAAGATATATGACAGTAGAAAAATGAAATCAAATTGTTATGCCTGAATAATAAATAATTACTATCACATGACTTTGAATCATTGATCAGTACTTGTTAGTGTATTTACATATCCAAGCAGAAGCTGTAACACCAATGACAAAAAATAACACAAAGGACACCTTTAAAAGATTCAAAGGTTTACATAGATGAGTCTTAGATCAGCTAGAACTAATTTTTAATGAACAAATAATTGTGAAACTAGAACATGTACATGTATTTGTAAATGACCAGATTTCAAATATATAGAATGCATTAATCTTTTTATGGAATTTACATTTTCATTTCATTTATCTACAGCTAGCCTCTTTCCACAATGAGCTCTCTACATAATACACATCTACAAGATATGATGGTGACAATATTATTAAAACATTAGCAATGCTATACCAGCTTTTATCTTTTAAAGTTTTTGGCCTTTAAAAAGGAACATGGTTTTAGGTTCTGTCTAATCCCGTGCAAACATTTAAGTTCATTTTTTTCTGTATCTTTATCCAGTCTCTCTTCCCAAAGGATCCGATTTCTCTTCATCTGTAGTCTGATGTTCATTATTGACTCCAATTCTTTCTCTTCCAGGGTGTCAGTCTTTTCAGGTTCTTTAGTCGGATTTCCTATCAGGAACTCTTGACTTTTTTAATCTGTACTCTTTTTCATTTTTTTCATTGATATTTTTTTGCCCTTTTTGCTCTTGTATCCACTGATCGTTTGCCAAACTTTCATTGACAGTTCTTCAGGGTAACAATCCAACAAAGTGGCTTGAAATGTAGTGGTCTGCCACCATATCTGGCCTTGTTGTCCAATGCTGCCTCGACTTTATAATCTTTACCACCACTTTCCAAAAGCTTATATATGTACATCCAAGGTTAAAAACTTCTTTCAGCACCAACTTTTACAGGATGTAGAATACAGTCATGAGGGATTTCAGTTGGACAAATCTGAAGAACATCCTCAACTATATGCAAAACTGTATTCTAGGGTAATGACTGGTACATTGTCTCCTTAAAAACATCTTTTGAAATCCTTTTAGAACAGTTATGAACAATTTGTGACTTTTTCATCTAAGGGTTTACATGATTAAAGGACTTTAAATGCATTTGCAAAGAAATGTTCCGTATCTGATATAACTTTAAAGGTATTTTCAATTCAATGATATAAATCTATCTTTTACGTCTTGGATTCTGTTGGCTTCATTGCAACTTTTTAATGTGTCTTGTTTACATCATCTTCATCAAGAGAACATAACTAGAATCCTCAGACTCAAGAAAACAAATCATATTCTGCCTTATTTCACATTCCCTTGTGTTACCTAAAACTTCCTTTGTGTTACAATTTTTAACCATCATATATTTTTAGCACTTCATTATTTATTGTTACTTGAATTGCAATATCCCACCACATTTGTTTTCTGCAATACAATGAACACTATTACCACTCCATATGCAATACGCTTGTTTAATTTTTCTATCTTTAATCCTTGCTCTGCCCCTTGAGTAACTGAATTTGTCTATGGTGTTACCATAGGTTACTTTAAAGAGCATAAAAGGGGATATGATTGCATTACATAATGAATTTTGATATTTCAATTTATTCAAAAGGAATAAAAGTTGTATATTTTCCTACAGAAACAAAAGAACATGCAAGAGTATATTAATAACATAAATATTTAATCGTTTTTACATCCATTGTGTTACCAAACATTGTCCTTTGTGTTACTCAAATTATTTATTGAATTAATTTATAGCTCATGGAAACATAATATGAAAAATAAATGCCAATTTGATAAAAATATTTCTGTTATTTTATATTGTAATAAACTTTACACAAATGTTGTATTAAAATTGGGAATTTAAAGGGTTTTTTTTCAATTGGTCCGCGGAGTTACCCAATTCTGTCCTTTGCATAACCAAGACTGCAAAATCATATGATTTTCAAATGGTAAAAACATTTAGTAAATAATTTGGCATTTTAAAACAAAATTAGTTACTGGTTAGTTTTAAATAAGGGAGGAAAATAAAACATATGACTCCAACTTTCATTCTTTTAAATTATTTTCTATGTAAATTGTCCATGGAGTAACTAGATACATCCTTAGAGTTACTTTTCTTGCAGTAACAAAATGGACAGTAACACCAGGGAATTATTATATAAATAATTGGAAGTATAAAAGCAATAACTGACTTATGAACATAAAGCACAGCTCCTAGATGATAGGTATTTTGTTATAAACTTGCTCAATGCATCAAAGAAATGGCAAATCAATTTATCATCACAATATCGAAGTACTTAGTAACTCCTAGGACTCAAAAATAAATTACTATTGCAATCAAACTTGCCTTCAACCACATATTGTGCCTATGGTATAAAAGATCTGTGTAAAGTGTCTCATGATATTTTGGCGGGAACAAGACCAAAGGTGTCATAACAGTATTACACTTTGGTTCACGTCAAATCATGGCTGACGAAAAATAATCCCGGAATCTTCCCTTCCGATTCGGGCATTTTGATACGAGACTGGAGCTGAATTTTTTTATGAGATGAAAAACAACATGTAAACTTCCTGTATTGACCAGATTTATTAAAATTTAGGGCGTGCTGATTTTTCTATATACTGTCAAGAGTGGGGAGTGATTAGGCCCTGGACTAGATTTTCAAGCACCTGCTCGACTTCGACCGAAACAAACTTGCGTGCCTTGCTGGATGGCTATGTATTTTTTGGTACTAAAATCTTTATAAAGAATGGTTTTACAAGATCTGAAAAGGAAACTTCTCAGAAGTTTGTTTTGAATTAGTTACATCTACTCAAACTTGCGCATTTTTGGTAAGAATATATAGCAGAAATTAATACTGTTGTGACACCTGCAGTAAAACCGAATTTTGTACTTAGAAATATTGTAGTCTAAGAATTAAGGTTTTATTTTGTGAGTTTAGACGGAAAATGAGAAATAATGGCATTTTTCGGCCGTCATTGCTGTTCGTTCATGTTTAATGGAGCATAGAAAATTAGTCCAGATTTCCTCTAAAATAAATTATGTTGGCCACACCACGGCCTGATTTGGATGTATCGGGTTGAGAGAAATGCATGAAATTTAGAGGACAGCTTAAAAAATACCTTGCCATCACACTCGTTAACATTATTTACTCATGGTTAATTTTAAAATCTATAAATTAAAAAAATTTAGACCACACTCGGAGCAAAATAAAAATTCTGAATATGTGTAAATATCGGTTTATTTGGAACACATTGGTAACAGGTAAAGAAATCCGGTTGGAAAAAATAATTATTGAGGCAAATCAATCGTAATTAAGCAGAAAACACTTTAATATTTCAATAATATTTATTTTTTCGATGCCCATTTTAACCCCACCCCCCAACCTTATGACAAAAACTATTTCTTTCGCCCTATTATAAAATGCAAACTTATTTCGAACAATTTTTCATCCTCATGTGAATCAGTATGCATCCATTAAGAAATTAAAACGAAAAAACCGCACAAGTTTAACGCGCAAGATCATTACATACAGTTCAACTTTTGCCATATTTTTAGAAATCCGTGTTCACCGCGAAGCCCCCTGTCACAGAGTTTTGCCCGTAATTTTCCTATCTTGGGATGGATTTTTATGAAACTTGGTAAATACATTAGATAATCATCATAGATCGGGAAAATAGCAATATACCGGCAAGGAAAAAATTTAAGTTTAATTGCAGGTGTCATAACAGTATTACACTTTGGTTCACGTCAAATCATGGCTGACGAAAATAATCCCGGAATCTTCCCTTCCGATTCGGGCATTTTGATACGAGACTGGAGCTGAATTTTTTTATGAGATGAAAAACAACATGTAAACTTCCTGTATTGACCAGATTTATTAAAATTTAGGGCGTGCTGATTTTTCTATATACTGTCAA